ATAGTTTTGTCGTATATCCATATTTAGTTACTTTACACATGCCACAACTACTGTAGTAGTCCTGCAATGGAAATGTTAATATAAGCGTAAATTTTATCCGTTTACTTTTAAAACTAGCAGTTTACTTTTATAACATATTTAACTTGTTCTGTTTGTAGCAAAATCGTGAAAAAAAATATATATAAATATCTATTACAAAATTGGTAAGTCTACTTATTTATATTGTTTTTGGTATAGCAATCAATATCTCACATAGATGAAAGCAGTTTATTATAAACTTATTCAGAGTTTCGTATCAATGTATCGTTAATTCACATCATGATAGTGATCATCCAAAGGTGAACTTGAACTATACCTACCACTACCATCTATCTATCTATCTTTTTGTAGCTGAAATAACACATATTCTAAATAAGGAATATTATATTTTCATAAACTGTTTCATTTACTGTAACATTGCATATTAGGACTGTAGTATGTATTGTATGTATTATAACATTTTTTTTTTTAAATATAAACATATTTTTAGGTTATGTTTATTATTTACCAACAGATGTCCGTCGTCAGTTTCTTTATTTTTCCATTCTCGACGATATAAAAAACTGATTGAAGTACTTAAGTGTTTTACTTAAGTGTACGAGTATTTTCTTGCGAGGTAACATTCCCGTCAAACAACTAGGTAATGCGTCTAATAAACAGGAAATTGCTATCTAGATTACTTGCTTTCTTGCACGGTATAGTATACCACCTTCTTGAATCTATCCAATAAAATTATTAAAAACAACGAATAATAACGATTATAATCAGATATACAAATCATTTTCTCCATTACATGGATGACGAAGTGCAAGTATTCATCGTATCCATTATGTCCACGATGAGTTCGGTACTCTAAATTATCCGAATTTAATATGAAGATGGATGTAATAATAGATAAATGGCAATTATGCAATTTTTTATTTAAAAAAATGGTGAAAACCGGTCTTACTGGAGTCTCACCATAAACTTTAATTGTCAATGTTTTTTCAACTTCATTATCTTTATTATGGATCTATATAGGTCAAGTAAAGTTGTTACAAAAATATATTGCAAATAATCTCCGTGTCCTACTCCAAGAGCATCCAATGTAAATAATAATAATTAAAAACAAGCACAACTGTACACAACATGACTAATATTTATGTTTATCATTAAATAATTATTAATATAGCAGTTACTTACTAACATGCCACGAAGACTTTTTTAAAAACATATAAGTCAATCAAAGACGTAATTTGATTGACTTATATGTTTTGTGTACATATAAGGCATTTCGTTATAAATTACAGGAGCGTTATAAAATACACTTTCTTACATTAATGTAATTTTACATTGTATCACGCATAATTGATTAGTATGTCGGGGTCGTATACGATTTTTTTATGGTTCATATAAAAAGGGCACATTAAAAAATATAGTTAATAGTATAGTTTTTTTAAAATGCGGTCTATAAGTGTCCCTTTTGGGCAATCTACTAATAACTGTGATGCAAAGTTTTTGATATTTAAAAACTGTCTTTTTAAAAGCAATTAAACTCTTTTTAATGTTGTTACTGAATAATTATATAATAATTGACATAATGATATGCTGATGGTGCTCGCGACTTCGTACACGTGTACTTTTGTAAATCACCATCTATTATTAGATTAAATAATCAATAAAATTGAAGTCGACGTATTACTCAATTTAATGCTCCATTTCGAGGGTATTTATTTCAAGTTAATTTAGTCTATATGTTGACTCATATTTACCAACATAATTATATATAATTTCTTCAGCTATTTTGATGTGACGCTTAACACGAAGAAACAGATAAATAGACAGTTTTTGTATCGTCACGACTTTACGATTTTATTAAATGTAATTATTAATATTAAAGTGTTTATACACTTTATTATTAATATTACATATAATATAATAAAAGAAATATTAATCATAGAACAAGTTAAATAGATATACCAAAACTATTTTAAATTTAGTTTGAAGCTTTTAAGAACATCCTTTTACGATCTAAATCCAAAATTCTATTGCTTGCAATTAATCATGGTAACACCTACAATCAATAGTTTTTAATAATTGACAGATAATGGAGGCATTTAATATGATCAGTCTTAAGTGCGAAAATAGACATCCCTATGGATCACACCACCGCACTGCCTCGCAAATACAAAATAATTTTAGTTGAAACTTAGATATACTGTATCAATCAGATCAGACAATCAATCAATAGCTTGCTTGTCTGTTTAAAGAAACCGAATTACACATAAGTACTTAATGAAATAAAATACAATAAACATGTGACTATGACCTCAAGTCAAGTCAAGTCAACAGGGACTGAACAAGATGCAAAACTATGAACAAATTATTGAAATGACGATCTTGTAAATTAATGTTGTAAGTATATGATCATAAACAGCCGACGTAATAAAATATACAGTAATTTTGAGTAAGTAATGTGAACTCATAAATACATAATATTAGGATATAGCTAAAAATAGAAGGCAAATAAAAAATAAAAAGAACGTATACACTAAAAACAAGAACACTTAGGTTGTCAAGAAACTATGTCAGCAATCTTGAAACCAATTACGATCGATCGACATTGGAATGAAAAGTTTCGTAACTTTTGATATTCTTTAATGGTACTTTTAACTCCACGTATTAACTCATTTCATTGTCATTGAATAAATCCACCGACATTGTAATAGATTTATGGTATACCGTATAATTGTATAGTGTTTACAAACAACCTTATTAATACTGACAATGAAACTACCCTAATAAAATAAAGATATGCTACAAAAACCATTACAATAATAAAATTAATAGTTTCCTTTTAAAATCAATCATAACTTTAAATCGAATTCTTTATTTTAGTTTGTATACACCAGAATTATGTGTATTGTTTGTGTGATACTTCTCAATAAACGTAGATACCTATCGAAATTAAAAGCATTACATAGCATTAAAATCAGTTCTAATACAGTGTGTACAGTTGCAGATCGAATATTCTTATAATGTATATACCTACATTATTTGGATACAGCGGTATTAAATTAGATGGTAAGGTTTTATGTAATTAGATTTTATACGTTCCGACTACTAAATAAGGCTATTTGACCACATTCGACGATTTCGAAATGTGTTACAAAAATAATTATATTGTTGCTGTAATATTTACGTATTATTGTAGGGCACTTGTCTTAAATAATATGTTGATTTCGAAATTTGAAGGGATAAAGCTTTTGAAAAGAAATTATTTTTAGGGCCTTGGATTATTTAAATGAACAAAAATACAAAGCTACTTTATATTTGCATATCCAGAATGCAGACAAAATTAACAGCAACAGTATAAGTCAATACTGTTAAAATTGTCGAATCGGTTTCATTGTTATTTAAATACAACGCAGTAATAAACGGACGGAAATATATCACATAATAAGGGTGCTTTCTAATAGCGCTTAACTAAACCTATCGGGATTAATATACCATGTCACGAACCTCCACACGACTCTCCTGGAAACCATCATGTTGAATTTCTAGTGAATTTGTCACGGATGGGCTACCTGACCTCATGTTCATCTTATCATCCTCTACAGGTGCCACGCCAGCATAAAGAGCAGGCGAGAGCACCATTTCATCAAAAAAACAAACCTATCATTACACAATTAAACATAGGTTAGAATATTTTATTTAAGTAACATTACATGGATACATATAATATCGATCGATACCTGACAGAACTCTCGCGGGAGAGGCCGATGTCATACTTACCAGCCTATATCTTGTTTCTAAAATGTTATCTCATTTTTATTTTCATTTTATTTGTTTCGCAAAGTTTCATATATATTTATATAAATTTTTAGAAGTTTTCACTGTGGGACATACATTTTATATTATACATAATTTAATAATTATATTTATTTATTATGTGTGATGTCATGTTAGTACCGTTACGTAGTTCACCCTGCATGTTACTTCGCTTATTTAATTCAGTTAATAATACCAAGGGGGGTGACTCCTAATACACCCCGTCTACGATCGCTCGAGATATAATTATACTTTTTCCAGTTGTAATGCTAGAAAAAGTAAATAATTATTGCAGAATAATGTAGAAACACTATTTTAATATTATTCTGAAATCATAGGCATAAATTGAATGTTTTAACATGACCAGTGAATGAAGTGGAATGCTTTCATTCAACTATCTTCTATTATTTTTTTTTTTAACTTTGCTACGTAAATATATATTTCATTTTGAGATGATAAGACATATATTCATTTACTAGTTCTAAGTTGCTATAGAACATAATATTTTACATTTGCATTACTGAAATGTCGTAAGCATAATTTACCAGTTTTCATATTCTTATAACAACGTAGGTAGTATAATACATGTATATGTAGAATATAATATTACCATAATTATTTTTAAAAATATAAATACCCTATTTAACTGACTACGAAAATAATGTATATTTTTTGGCATCTATGCGAAATCATTACCAACATTTAATAAAATAATATCAAAAATTAATTCAATTTTGAAATAAAGTTACAATGGTATTAAAACTGTCAATGAATTAATTTTGTGTAACTTTATATAATACTGAATTTCTTTTTTCTTCCTTTATTTACTTACAGATGCTTTGGCCAATTGTATTACTGATATTTTATTATTATAGAAAATAAAATTTTGGGCATGTAGGTAATTATTCGCATATTGCTATTTCGCGAAGCCCAATTATTATATAATAAATAATCAGTTAAAACTAGATACAGAAAATTAAAAAATATATATTATATAAATCTAAGTAAAATTAAAAAGCTCGGCAATCGAAAATATTACATACGTAATATGAATGTAAATAAAAAATATTAGAATATTTACGCAAGCAGGCACAGTAGTACAATAACAAAAGAATGCGTTATTTATATGGAAATCATTAAGTAACACTTACCTCGTACTTGATGCCGGCGAGACGGAGCCATGTTTCAACTTTCAAGCAGTACGGGGATATCGACGGTAACAAAGGAGTTCTCGAGAACTGATACAGATAGACGATGTCCTTTTCAAAATTAATTTTATGGACAGTTAGTTTTGGCTGGGCAGGTTCAACTTTCTTTTCGTCTGCCTTCTCTTCAGCCTTTTCCGCAGATGCCGGCACCTCTTCCTTTCCATTATCTACCGGTGCGTCCTCCTTGAGTTCCTTTTCCTTTTCTGTGTTCTCAGGAACGTTGTTCGCTACTTCTGTTGCCATGATTATAGTATATTCCTACACAGTACTTTGTCTTTAATTATTAATACACGCACAGGGCACAATAGACGACCGACTATGTGACTCGATAAATCTACTTCGCTACCGCCAAACCAAAGTGCGTAATGAACGTAATGAATTTACCGACTGCCGCGCCGCCGCGCCACACCGTGTCGCATCCGTAAAGCTTTTTATTCAGTCAACTGAGTAACTGGTTGCCAGGCAACGCCTTCATATCCACGCCGTGCAACAAAATGGCGGCTTTTGTAATATCAAACACATGGCAATTAAACAAATATGAAACATTTTATCTATTATGCACTTTGAATCATTATTTAATTAATTCAATTTTAATCTATATTGCAACATATAATTCAAGATTAATATTAAAATAATGTAAAATAAGCGTGAGTTTCAATTGTCATTCCACAGGCCAAGCGCGCCAATTACGAAAATAGTCATGATAACCGAGGATAAGTATTATTTTCTATATAGAACCATAATTGTATATCATGGTATAGATACTTATTTAAAAAACCCATTTTTAGATGATCGTTGGTGAAAGTTGATGCGAACATTATTTTGTGCCCTCAATAGAATGTAAATCATATATACATTAGATTACCCACTGCTCAAATAAATATATGGCGATGTCGGGTAGCTATTCGCCAAGAAAATAAATTTAAAAAAATGTCTATGATAATCTATACTTTGATTCATTTATATCATGCCTATGTATGTACTTGTGTTTGTCATCTAATTTTTCAAAAGCAACTAGGCTGATTTGAATTACATATTTATTGTGAATATTTCAATCGTTTCCTGGTTTGAAAATAACCGTTAAAATAATGGACCCGGTGGGCATCCTTAGGCTACGATAACCGTCAAACCATCAGATGGGCTTTAAATTTGTTTGCCACCATTGTGGTGTAGGACGAAGGTGATGCCGCTGTCGTTACGATACCAAAGGACCCTGCAATATATTTAAATGAAATTTGGGTTACGGTCAGTATTCTTGTAAACAGCATAAGGAATTGAACCTTATGCTGTGAAGAATGAATCATTACTTTCGAGATCCCAAATGTACCAAAAAAACTGACTGAAATCCAATTCCATATATAAATATATATGTTTATATTGTGGATCCCATGATTGTCCTGGACAATGGACAACATTAATTTTTGGGCGATTTTTATTGTCTAGCTAGAAAGAATAGGGTAGGCCTAACTGAACGTCATCTGCCAGGTCCGCTAATTAACTAAAGTTTGATAGTCTAATCATGAGGGAAGATTTTAAATAATAAGTTAACTTTCCTTAGCATCAAGAACGAATAAATGACTCAGAAGAGGTCAGGGCCCCTGGGTAAGAACCCCATGTGCCCTTGTAATTAAGGTGGCATTGCCCCCGCTTATGCAAGAAAGAGGTCAAATAACAGATATGAGTCAAACTGTTTAGTAATGTGCTCTAGAAATCCTGAAGGAACATACACTAGTTCTCATTAAATTTAGATAGACATCATTGTTAAAAAGATCAATACTAAAATCAAAATTCGTGAAATTTGCACACTACTAAGTTTAATCATTATCAAAAGATCTTTAATAATTTATTATTTTGGCTTGCAAGAAGTGAAAATGCAGTTATAGCATTTTCAGCATTAATGAATATCGAATTAAGTCAACAAACAGGTCAGTATTGTACTGAAATAGCTTAGATACTGCTAGGCTTTCCAATAAAAGCAATCTGTCTCATATAAATGCAAAATATTTATTACTTATTTTAACAATAAATTACATTAAAAATTATTATGAAACTAATGGTACTTAATTTATTATATAAAATACATTATCAATATAAAACTAAATTTATTATTATTATTTAGAATTATATTTCAACTAATTAATAACATTTTGGTGTTATACATTGATATAAAAAGGGTGACAAGTGCAGCTATGATAAACGTGTAGTAAATATGTTAACTGCTAATAATACATTTAATTTAAAATACTTAGGAACTCTAGCATGTGATGACAAAGACGACAAAGAAATAAAACGTGTATATATATATTTGTATATATATATAAAACGGACAACACACAACCAAAATCGATATATCTAAAATACTAAATGAGAATACAAATATATATACTTCTTTATTCATAATATTACACTACTTGCTAATCAATATTTAATTTGCCATGTCAAATTCATACAAAAAATACTTCAAATATGAATTAGGTACTGAATAATTTTATGTGGTACCTTTTTTATATTTATAAGTTAAAATATACAGCTATAGGTAGTATATCCATATTACCTACCTACCAAAACTAGCGACTTTCATATACATACACATAAATTAGATGTCTATTACAAAGTATACTCGCAATAAATAAACTTTATTATTATTTTCACTAATACATGTCACAATTAAAGTTAAAGTTCTACACTATATTTTGTTCTAGTCTTAGTTGTTACCTACTGTTACAACTTTATAACTTAGTACTAGTTTTATAGGTTGTAGAAGTTACCGAAACATTTTGATTTTTAATAGGTTGTTCATAGCCTATTTGATCAGAATCTATACTATATGTAACTATATATTATATAGTTACAATGTACGTTACACACAAATATTTGGTTAGGGTCCATTCACAAATTACGTTACACGACAGTCATATTTTTTTAACATTCCCCGTCCTTGTTACATCTCCTCACATATGTCGTATTATTTACTACATATATTTTAAAGTTTTTAGCTCATAGATCAAATTTCGATTTATAATTTTTAGATGTATTTTAAAACATTACATTACTAAATTCTTCGACATCAACATGTGGCATAATTTGTGGACGGCTTCTTACTGCTACAGTGTATTAGAAAGTTGGAAGTTATATAGTAGTTGCAATTAGTTGTTAATGTATTTAATATATCCGATTCCATCCAGTGAATATCGAATAAAATATTGGGCATTAATAAAAATATAAGCCCTCTCTCGACTATAAGGGAGTTAATCATATATATTTAAACCATAACATGAATAGAATAGAATCATAGTATTATTTTTGTAGAACAAAAGATCGTAGTACATTGTGTAGAGTAATTTCTAATACAAAACTTCATAATCTACTTATAATAAAACTATGATTATTAGAATTTGTCTATCTTTTAGTTAATCCATTTCGGAGATTAGCGCTCACAAACGCACAGGTAATCGGACAAAAATTAGAACAGCCATGATTTTGTGTTCTATTATTACATTAATAAAATACACCAATGATATTTTTTCTTATTTTTTGCATGCAGGACGACGTATTGGTCACACACACTTAATCATTTAATATAATCGAGAGGACGTAAATTTATTGCACTTATATTATTATAAATATAAGCGTTGTTATTGCTATTAAACAATGTGTTTCATCATACGTCTAAAAATATATTTCTGACATCAAATATATAAAAATTCTATTTATTAATGACATATCTTTATGGCAGCATAAGATATTCAGAAAATATTGGCTAAAATTAGGTTTAAAAGGCCCCAGCATTGATACAAGCGGAGAATTAAGTAGTATTAGCACAAAATTGTATTAATAGAAGAAAAGTAATACAATTAAGTTGCGAATGCTGATCACTAATCATGGGCATTTCGCGTTTTAATACAAAAAATACAAAATACTGATATTATTCCGGATAACTTAGGATAAGTTGTATTATTCGTTTTTTATTTTTTTCATCATTTATTTTATTATATCAGAGCAAAATTTCAATCGCCTAGTACGTAGTGACTGCATATGTCCTTTATCCAAAGTTATCCGGTATTTTTTATTGTTTATTTTAATTGTATAAAATATTCAATATCACAATTCTCTCTTAATATTAGTTGTACATTTATCTAGTTATCATAATATTTTGAGGATATTCCATAATTTTTCTCTTCTTTTTACAACATAATATAACATACTCGTAATATAACATATATCGTTTTACACATTTTAAACAAAGTAGAACCATTGTTCCTCTATAACCATTGTTGAGTATAATATGCAGGGACACAAGTCTAATGTCATCATATCATAGACGTCTATCCCAAGACTCCCAAAAATGGTTTGTTAAAGGCTTGTAAATTAAATAATAATTAGTTAATTTCAAACATTCCTTAGGAAAGATGATTATGAATGGGATTGGCAAAGAAAAATCGCGGTTAGAAAGTGTCTCGCGTCAAGGGTCGTACGAGGGTCAAGAAGTTCGCAGAGTGGGGTTTACAGTGAGTATAAATTATTTGCCTGGACTAGTCAAAACAGCCATTTTAAATTTATAAGTAAACGGTTTATGCTGATTGTTGCTCGGATGAAACATGATTTACTAGTACGATCACTTTAAGCAAAATAGTGATTGTTTTTTGAAGATAATCGGAGGTCGGGGCGGCTAGTCGAGTTGAACACGACTTAATGTCGACGACACACTTGAAAAATAATTATTGATATTATAAGCGAACTTTTTGAGTACTCAGCGAACACTTTGATCATATGCAGTTAGAACAGTGAGTTAATTTGTGTATAGAGAGTTTCATTAGTGACGATCAGTCCAGTCATATTAAAGTATACAAATAAATCTACCCGTGATCATGGCTTTGCAACACTATCGAAATATCGGATACTCAAAGATACACATATAACCTAGTAAAATAGCGTTACTCTTTATATTTGCATTCATAATGCCAGCGTCAAGTTTATAAAAATATACTTTATATTATTTAGTATTGTCCATATTAGTTACGTCAAATAAAATAATTTATTATAGACATTTGTTACGGCGCGTATGTTCATCATTATCCTTATTGCTGTATCAAGTGTATGTGACATTACTTGAAATGTCAACGTATAAGTGCGTGGACGGCGGAAAGAACTTGATAACTCGAATTATGTTTGTACTTTTTATTGTCGCAAACGTTTCTGTGCCTCAGAATGTATATATAACACATAAATTCCAACGTAATTATTCCAGAATGGTTTTATTTAATTAATAAGTAATTATAACTATTCCTTTGTGCCACTGTGATATATTTTTGTAACAACTTGAATGTTCTATATACAAGTGTCGAGTGTTTACATGTTTTTTATGTGGCTCGGTTTTGCAACCATTTCTTAGTATTAGTTATACACATCTCTAGTAGCTTTACTACTTCTTTATACTTTAATCCACAAAGACCTCCGTTATAAAAAATAGCTCTGAATTGTGAAATTCAATAAATGCTTCATTAGTATCAGTGTTCTTCAATACTTCGGAAATGATAATGCACATACGCATTTTTAAAACTTATTTTCTAAACACAATCAGACTTATAATCATCTAAAACATAAAAAAACAGTCACAGCTTGTATGTATGTGGATGAGCGACTTGAAAATGTTGTTTGTTTAACATTCATATGACATAACATAACATTCATTGTTGTTTGATTGTTTCAAGTTCAATTTGTAACTAAATTAACATTTATTTTACATTAGCTGTGCCCGCGACTACGTCCGCGTGGAATAGTGACCTTAAAGAGAAAAGTTTCATCATTCTAACTACAAAAACGTCAAATTTCCATATAAACTTTCATGCTCGATTTTATACTATCCCCTTAAAGGTAAAATTTTTACAAACTTTGTTGTATATATTGGTTAATTAATAGCCAAAAAATTAAGTTTCAAGCTAGAAGCTTTAAAATATATGTATCAAATTTTATTTATATCGGTTCAGTAGTTTTGGCGTGTAAGCTAGACAGACAGACTCACTTTCGCACTCATAATATTAGTAAGGATAACTAACCAATACTATCCTCAGAAAATTACTACAGCTGGCACCGTTCACTCGGAGCTAGAGCTCGAGCTAGAAGGTGTGTAGCTGTAGTAATCGTTGTGCTAGGCTGTGTTTATCTGCTCCACATTCAAGTGAGTGATAAACCGCAAACGCATTTGTAGAGCGGGACGCAGCTTCCTTATAACACTCTCCACTTCATTTTTCAATGTATCGCCAACAAACATATATTTTATGTGGTAACTGACCATCAAGAATCAGGATCATTATTGTTTATAAACGTAATAAAAACCTTATTAAAAGTTATTGCATTATCGGCATCTCGGAATACACTAGTAATATATTCTCTGATATTCTTCAGTTCTATCATTCTATGAAATAATAATATCCTAATTCACAATTCATACAGCGCCATCTAGTCCCAAGCTAAGGAAAGCTTGTGTTGTGGATACTAGACAACTGATATAAATACGTAGATACAGTTTTTTGTAAATACATACACAATATACAAATATAACACCCAGACCGATACAAACAATCATACTCATGAATACAAATGGTTGTACCGTGCGAGGAATCGAACCCGCGACCATCGGTAGTAAAGCTATACTGCTAGACCACCGAAGCCGTCAATAAACTGATGTCCTGTTATGAAATTGAAAAAATTGTAAAGGATACAGTAGATCACAAATTGGATCGATGTATTGGAGATGGGCCTGTGATTTATCTATATGTGCAAGCAACTCATACAGAGTAATCGTAATATCCATGACGGCTCGTGACAGATCTGAATTAAACCTTTGTAGGAAAGGACCTACTAAGTGGCACAAGAACAGTAACTGCACCTCAGTCCTTATCTCCGAAGCCAGCTTCTCCTTTACAAATCTGAAAAAATATTATTTAACACTATTATAAAACACTATACATACACAATTTCCACTATTTTTTATCTACCAAGTGAGAAGTTCCTATTAGTAGGAATATAAATATACCAACTTACATTGGAACTTGCATAATTTGACCCGCACCGGCATGATACCACACTGCGTGGGCCAACGCTAACGTTAAGCTATATTTATTCTCCAGCATGGCATCATTTGTTGTTGTTAAATTGAAAAGCTGGAACGGCGTATGCGGGTATGGCCACTCCGCCATTTCGTTACTTGATATTAATTCCAATATACGGTCATGTAACACAGTCCAGTATGGATCGGGAAGGGCAGCCATTATTAAGCCTATAGCATTGATCCATAGTTGAATTTTTGTTGCAGGAATAACTACAAATCCTTTTGTAACGACATCCAGGAGACTGTGCCCTACGAAGTTAGGTGCCAGAGGTAACGACATAAGTTCAACACATGTTACATAGAGTGAATGTGCAGAAGGATTTGGATATTCATTGAAGCGCCAGTCTGTATTCGGGAAGTGCGAGTTACCAGTCATAGCTGACGTACGATTAAGAAAATTACATAATTTTCGAAATATAGATATAATGTACCTAATTTTACTTTACTTTAAGGCCTTTAACAGACCATAGGCAAGATTCAGAAGGTACACTTAACATTTTTTGATATAAAAAATCCTTTGAACTGTATGACCAAGTTTGATTTATTCTTGATCCATCTTTACAAGTACAAAAATAAACTAAACTGACATTAACTGTTTAATAAATAGTGATAGCAAAATTCATAGAAATATGGGTATTTAACTAGGTTTACTTTAATATTCCTTTAATATGTTATAACTAAACCTTTCTTATTAGGCACTGTGGAGCATTGTCAATCATTAAGGCTTGAAAATTATAGCTTATTTGCATTAATATAGACTATAACATCTGTAATGATTGAATGAACCGACTCAAATGATGATACCTAATTATTATTTTATGTCAATATATAACACATTCAAGTGGTAGTCAATCGTGTAGGTACTAATGTTGTTTTCATTTTATATATTACAAAAGGATACTATCCACCATTCTGTTAACCAAACTCAAATAATAATTGAGATCTGGAGTCCAGCCTGTCGCTTCTGTATCTGACTTTCCAAGATAAGTCTGAAAAGGTTCAGTGGTGGCCCAGCCAGGTGGGCGCACATCTTTTAGTGAGCCCAATACTGCATTTACTAATTTCCTCTTCAACAGGGGTTTGTCACGAAGTTTTGACTCGTAGTAATGCAGTGTATTGTATAAAAACGTGACAGGACGATCTGTAAATATATTAAACGTTATACGAGTAATTATATAACTTAATGTATTATTTCGCAACTTCATAAATAGTTTTCGTATCATCAACATAAAATATTCACAGTATAATAAAATAACATAAAGGAGAATGATCACTTAGCATGAGAATATGAACCGCCTATAGGCAGCATTTCGGCTTTTGAAATTATCCTAAATTATATGGATGATTGCACTAGTTCGGATTTATTAGATTTATTTACTGAGTGTCAATGTGACTGGATTATAAATATATTTTCCCCCACAATACATTTTATGAGGGTAACGTTAATTATTTCTAACATTACTATAGGGATATCTGATTCAATACTCTGTTTATGTAACAAATTGTACTACAACAATAAATCATTGACCAGTATTGACATACAATTGTGTTGTGGACATTATTTTTATTATCAAAAAACACATATATTATACCGCAAATTATCATCAGTATTATTAAAAAATAACATCAGTTGAGTCTCACAAGATTTATATTTTTAATGGTAATTACTTAAATAACTTTATAATTATCCTAAAGATTTAATTGTTAAAACAGTATTTTTATTAAAAACAATTCTATGTATTTTTAAGCTTTATTATAAAAAGAAATATTAGCTTTCGGGACTAGTTCTCCATACTAATTTTAAATATTCCCAATTTGATTCATTGTCGACCACGTAAATTTCGTTAAAAGTAGTACAAAGTATTTAGTTCACGTCATTACCATGAAATTTGTATAAGTATCCAAGGTGCTCCAAGAGGCGTTCTAAGTTTTTGCTGACTGGTGGAATCTCTAGATACCTATGTACGACAATGTCCAACACAGGAATGAACCGAAGACAAACATTGCTCAAATACACTGGTATAGGGCCACCGTATGCGCCACTCGCTTCTTCGGGAGCAAACTTCTCTGGATATTTTCTATGAAATGCTAAGTGTTTGTCATACCTATAAAGATACAGAAGACTCTTAACGGTACTGAATATAAAAATATATGTAAAATAGTCACAATGTCTTGAAACCATTGTGTAGAAATAAATTCATTAGAATTTTATGTCTAACTACTACAGACTTTCAAGTTAGCAACTATAATTGAAATGATTTATATATTTTAATTTTGTATGTTGATATGTTAAATAGTAAGTACTCAGGTACCCGGAACTAACTTAATTTGTCTTTTATTTTTACTTGAGATATGGTTATAAATATTTAATGACACTTACCAATTATTCTGTTTCCAGTGCTCAGGAGAGTTTTCCTTTACGAAGTCCTGCACCCTATTTCTAAGTTCAGAACCTTTCAACAGCAATAGCTGAATAATATACAGGCATACTTGACTCTCGTTTCCATCAGGGTTAGGCCGGAGTACCTTGAAATTGAACATTCATAAAAATGGAATTCCATATTAAAGATAGCGAAACATTCATTTCTGGTTATAACGATACGACGTAACAAGCAAAGCTTAAGCTTTATTTTGCATAAAATAATAAAAAAATTGTTCAATCTAAATTTACAATAATTGTTTGTCAACAGAGAACAATTACAAAAAGAAAAAACAGTGTGTTGGAAAGTGAATAAAAATAGGCGATATTATCGCTATAAGCAATGTCTTACAAACAATCTGGTACGACGTATTTAAATACTGAGAAACGAATAGTAGTACAATCAAGACTCTATCGTTAATGAACATGTAAATGTAAGTATATATTTATGTCTGTACCGTACATGTTACAGGCCAAAATATATAAACTTACAAATGAATACACACATAATACACTACATATTGAAAAGCAATAAAGAAAACCAAAATATCGAAAAAAATATACAATAAGATTTTTTTAGATATAGCTAATGATGGTGAACATTGAACGGAGAGAAGAAGAGAATTCTATAGGCAAATGGCTTGGACAGAGCAACAATTAGGATATTTTGAAGAGAGAACAAGAATCGCCAAACAAAGTCTTCTAGTACTGCTACGCATGCATTAGCGTGAAACTGGAAGTTCTTTTTCAAATATCCGGGAGTTAATGAGTGGATAATAATAGTGTAAAGAAAGGATATTAACTATTCACATTCCTGCGAAAAAGAATGGGGAATATAATCTACAACTTCATTGAATTGTCCTTCAATCAAATATACATACCAGGAATCCGCATAATTTATTGCGAGTAACAGAAAATGTATAAACCTAGTTTTAATATTTTAAGCTCCCAAAAAATCCGAATTATATGTTATACTAGCTGTACCCGCGACTTCGCGAATTTAACAAAACAGTTAATTAGAGAATTTTTCTAAAATAAAAGTAGCCTAAGTTACTCCTTATTACATCGGCTACCTGCCCTTAAAAGTACCGTCAAAATCGGTCCAGCCATTTCAGAGATTAGCCGGAACAAACAGTCAGACAAAAATTGTAAATAAAATATTTTGGTGTATGTACCGTATTAATATGCATGAAGGTGAAAACGTTTATTTCAGTTAAGAATTGCAAAATGCTGGCAACATAGATAATACCAAATTTCGAGAATCCAAATTCTGAGATAAAAAACTAGATGATAGCAACCTACCTATAAATTTCATATTGCTTGGTCAATTAGATAAATAATATACATTGTTAATGGATTATAATCTTTACGTTTAAGCTTCAAAAGAACAGTACATAGGAATGGAAGGATTGAAATAATAACCCAGGATTATTACAGCGCTATCTAGCTCCAAACGAAACAAAGCTTGTACTAGATATTAAACAACTTAAATATATGTATAACATGCTTAGAAAACACTCAGCTCAATCACACAATTATACTCAATAATACAAATGTTTGTATCGTACGATAATCAAACCCGCGACCATCGGAAGTAAGGCGGTGTGCTAAACCGCTAGACCACCGAGGCCGTCTGAAATGGATCGATAATCTGAAAAACTCAAAGGATTTTATTTTCCGAGAGGAATCATATTCACATCTTTCCATATCGTAGGAAATACAGTAAATAATATAAAATTCTTAAGAGTAATAATGGGATAATATCAGGGAAATGATAATCACATCACAATCATCTTTTCTCGATGAGATTCCATTCAACGATTTTCATTGCATTTTTTTATATACATTCTTCAGTCTTGCCATATATATGTTTCACTTGATTAACAAGAAATAGACTGTGTTATTTCTTAGCAGCTCAATGATTAATTTGCACGATTTCATAGTAAAACCCATACTTATCCTGTGACATTTGATGGGCAACTAAATGAATTTAAATTTTCAATTCTCTATAAGCTCAAATAATTTAAATCAACAAGACAATATACATTTAAGCATATATGTATCTAAAATCAGTTTCCTATGTTCAATGTTCATGATGTGCTTCAAAGTGATGATAAAAAGCTCAGAACGACTGAAGTCGTAATCTTACCAAACATAAAACGAGTCTGTCAATGGTGACTATATTGTACTTCCATATGATATCATTGATTGCCTCTACGCATTTGGTGATGTGTCCACCCGCTGGGTTGGTCACTTCGAAAACAAGGTAATCGCAGAACTTCCGCAGATGTGCAGACAGAGCACGCGCACCTATGCGTTCCAGGATCCTTAAACATAAATGACGATAAATAAAAAATAATTATAAATGTACTGATAATAAATGTTTATGTCAGGGGACATTACCCATCTTTATAATAGAGAATTGCACTAATGATTTGCATTTTTAGTGGATTCCATTGTTAGGTTATTATAATTGCTAAAAAAATGTGTCTTCTCTATTACATTTATATCTTGCAAGTCATATTCCATTGTGGATACATTATACATTACCAGTATAGTCAGTACTATCCTATGCATCATAGCACTATATTATCTCCAATATATATTTAACACATTACTGTTTCACCCTATCGTCCAGAGCAAATCTTACATATTTTTGTTGAATGAAAGAATTTAACAATATGGATTCAATATATATTAGACATACATATATGAAAACGTGTAATGCAGTTAACTTACTTGAATGCAATAGGATTAATCCTATTAGTTTCGAAGATCATTTTCCAAAGCAGACAAAGAAACAGAGGCGTTCCTGGGACTGAAAAATGCGATATGATGTCATTGTCATTTGCCATTGACGTCCACTTCCGGTACTCCTCTTCTACGGACTTCTTCAAAACTTGTTTGTTTTCTTTAGTGGCCGGATTCTGTAACATAATAGATATTATTTAAATTTATTTATAAATCTTAGGAATATTAAATTGGAATTTAGTTGGAAGCCCTTATATATCTACTGCAATCAATTAATCAAAATCTTTGAACTGATTGGAGACACTTACATTTAATTTATATATTTGAAAGCAAATAAAGGCATTTTAGCACATAAAAGCATATAAAATCAGACAAACCTCTCGTGAAGTTTCGACTACTACCTAGTCGAAACTTCACACTTCTGCCTGACTCGTGAGTGTGTCAATATTTGTCATAAAATTATTTGTGTTAAAACACGTTTAACTATATTACTAATGATTACAGACATGGTAGAGGTCAGAAATTAAATATATTGGTATTGGTATATATAATGTCATACATATTATATCTGAGACATATTATATAGACTGAACCACACCTGTGAGAAAAACTCCACGAGCACCGGCGGGAAACACTGCAGAGTGTGCTGGGACCACATGTGCGGCGTATTCGTCATTATGGTTGTGAGAAGCTCTTTTACGGCTGCCCCATCGGTGCCTGTAAACTCATGTTAACCATTAACACAGCAGCCCGCCATTTATAATTGTGTTATCATAATTTATACTACCAATATAAAGGCTATACAATTAAAAAGGACTACGATGATTAAATACAATATCTATAATAAAAAAATATAATTTTGTCTCACCCTAGCTGTTACCCGAAACCTCGACTATATAATCAAGATAAAATACAACTTTTGTCCGTCCCCATGAAACAATCTATCTTTAAGTAAAATTAACATTTAGACCTTTTTGCCATTTAGTGGTGAAAAGATAACAAACAGACAGACTTACAGATTATCCCATAATATTGATATAGATTTACACAGTACATGTAATATTAGACGTGTTAAGTAAAGGAAGGGACACAAATATCATATAGTATATATATTTCTGCCGGTTAACCGTAAAACACTACAACAGCGATGGACTAGATCTAAATTAGGCAAGATTAGATCCATTGCCGCAAGTAGAGAAGAAGCAGACTGAATCTATGTTTAGTATTCATATGACATTGCTAAATTGACCCGAGTCCATAGTGGGTCAGTTCTCTGTCCATCGTTGATCCAATACAAATAATAAGTTTTATAAATAATTATTCACCTGCACCCGTCATGGCGATGCCGCGCGCAAGTGTCAGCACTAAAACTCGATTAAGCTCCTCACTCTCCGAAGAAACCAAGGATTTAGGCTCCGATACAACACGAGACATTTGCAACTGAACCCCTGAGCTCCCAAGACTCGTTATTAAACGAAGTGCTGTACTTTCGAAGCTAGAACAATAATTGAGATTGGTAGGAATACATAAGTTATACAGCAGTATTTCCTCTACGAATTGTAAGCGAAGCTTACATGGTGTGTATACCAAATGTGCAACAAAAACAATTTTCATATGATTATAATTTTTACTTGAATGTCACAAAAATAGGTATGTGGGAATAAACTTTATAGAAAACATGCAATAGAGCAAGATAATTTTTGTCAAGGATAAGGGACAAATAATTTTAATACTACTGTACAGGCTCTTCCATAGTAACAATAGTAACAATTTTACACATTGCTAAAAAAGGATTGTCTACTACATACATATGTCACATAATAGTACCAAACTTACAAGTTCTTTGAATTCCACTGTTGTATTTATAGCTAAGCGGTGATAAGACTTAACTTATTTACAATAATATTAGAACAGCTACTTCATATACTAACAATAAGGAATTATTCAGAAAATCTAGGAATGTAACTTACCACAGTTGCAACTGAGTCTGATTTGCTTGTGGGTAAGCTGCCAAGGAATGTATATTAGATAGGAGAGTCACTCTGTAGTGTGGTTGTATATGGTGTATACGATACGAAAACATGTCCAAAAGGTTATGCAGTATTCCCCATGCATGTGATTTGAATACCGTCGGTAAGAATTGATCTAAAAAAAGCAATATTAAATACCAATTCTACATCTGTAACATTATTACACAATTATAGCATATTACAAATAATTAGACTACTTAATAAAAGATATTTCTACTCACTTATAAATCCTTTAATGCCCAGTGATTCTATTTCAGTATACACTAGTAGTCGACTATAAGTTTCAACTAGTGCTGGGGCCATCATTGTACTTCCTGGCATATTGCTTTTGTTTTGAGCAAGTTTTGCAACATGTGCTACAATGGAATGTATAAGTGACATCTTGCAGTGTAATGTCAAACTGTCCAATATACACATTGATAGAGGCACTGTGGGCAGAGGAGCTGCTGGATTGCCATTTGGTAAAGCTTTTTGAGTACCAAACAGGGTTTCGATAATAATTCCCATTGGTCTGGCATAATACTCTTGATTTGTAGAGTATGCATTGCATAACAAAGCTATGCGGTAATCTGATCCCATTAATGTTGGAGTGTTATTTGAAGTCATAAGATGATGGAGAAACCTTTGGAACAATATAAAATGGCTTAAATACTTAAATAAAAATAGACAAATAAATAAAAATCATGAGGGCTGCTAATGATTAGGATGTTTAAAGTTAAACTATGGTTATTAATGATTCATTAACAACAAGTAAATTATATTTTTAAGTATATTTGATTAAATTTGTCAGTTCTCAGGATTACTCAATCACAACGTTTTCTAATTATACCTAAAGGTTCACTGGGAGGAAATTCCATACTGAATTAAGCTTGCCTTTTCTATAACATTTACAGTTCCTAAAAGATTTAAAATAATTATAACTTACTCATACTGCACTTTCAAGTTCTGCGGCATGGTCATGGTTTTGTTCTCTGTTTCAGCTTTCTTCAACAAATGCATCCAAATACACACAACAGCCATTTGGTGTGTACAATGTGCTTTGGCATAGTCTGGCACTGGTAATGGATCTTTTTCGGGATATAAAACTTCATGCAATTTTATAATTGGCAAAAAATTTGACAGTGGATTTCTTTGTATGCTTCCTGATATATACTGCAGCAGTACCCACATAAGATGATCTCGCCCTTTCTTCATGTCATGGCCAATTAGTTTATTATGGAGACCCATAACAATGTTTGGAAATGATGCAAAACCAATTAAAATTAAATAAATGACTTGTGATGATAAATGCAACCAACACCAATGTGTTGAGGACATCTCATCTTCATCATTTTCCTGTTCACTTCTCTCCATAGGAAGTATCATCAGTTCAACTAATTGATCTTCTAAGGCAATACAACGCTGCTTGTGCTGTTTTTGTAGACCTAGCATTGAGCACATCATATCCCGAGAGTAAGGCTGTTGTAGAACATGTCTTAGCAATGATATTTGAGGCTTCAAGAGGTCATCGTCATATGGTAAATTTCCTTTTAGGGAAAATTTTAAAGTTGTGGGATCTAGTCGCCAAGGGTTGACAAGATGATCAGCATATCCCGAAAATTCAACAACTGGTAGCATGTGGGAATGTCCAATGATAGAAACCATTTGTGCACAAGGTTTAAAACTCTCAACAAAACCAGTCAATAATTTAGCTAACTGCCAATGAGGCCAGTGATTATTATCTGGGTAATCTTTTTGAATTTCAGTTACAATAAAGTATGCAGGTAATAATGAGGCATTGCGGTCAAATATATATTCAATTACATTATCTAAGGCCTTCAGCTGTGGCATTGTACTTGAGTTAAGTCTTACTGGTAATGTATGAGCTTTTTCTCTGCAACCCTAAAAACAAAATCTTGAATTAGAGACAAAAATTAAACAAATATATAAAAGACAAATATTATTATATGTATCATATACTAACTTTCATTATTTCTCTTACTCCTTTGTAATCAACACCTCCAATAATTCTCCTGATCAAATTAAAGCATTCTATCCAAAAATCTGCATACTGATAAACAAGTTTTTCACTTGTTAAAATACAATCACAAAGCATCCTGTAAACACATAAACGGAAGTATATCATTAAGGTGAGAAGGCATCACATTTTATTTTTTTCTGCCTCTTAGTTGAACTATTTTTAATTTAACTTTGCACAAATAATTAAAAAAAGGTTAAATGGTCAGTTCTTAACCAGTTACTCGATATGACTTATATAACATCATGTAGCTTTGAAAAATAAAACATTATATGTAAATTTATATTTAAAGGGGATGTCTATAGACATCCTCTTAGTGTTTATGTCTGTGACTAGAACTCTTATTACAAGGTATGTATAACCTATCATCATTGACTCTAAACAGATGTTATGTCTAAATTGTTTATAGATGCCTTTCATTATTATTCTAAAATTGGATAGGCGGTTTTTTAATATACAGAATCACTTTCTAGGCCTTGTGTTGAGCCCAAGCTCAAATTTTTTTTACAATTTGTCGAAATGTATAGTATCCAAAACTATCTAAAGTTCTTAGCAGTAATAGTTTCAACAGCATAACACTGTAACAGGCATATGAGAGGATAACTGAGTGGCAATGTTGCATGAAAGTTTGCAAATTGTATGTCCAGATGTATGATGTAAATATATGGTAAATAATAGACTGTACTAACCTTGCCTGTAAGACATTGGTGTTAACTAAATTTTCTAAGACAGTCAATAGTTGCTTCATTTTATATCTATTGGTTAAAACTGCAGTAAGAGTTAAGTACTGCCGTATAGCAGACTCCTGCAAATCTGCACTCAATGTAGTCATCACTGCACATAGCTTTTTTTGATATATGGATAACCTTTCATTTTCTTGTTCTGGTTTGTGAACCAGGAAGCAACTGAAGGCCTCCTCTACTGCTTCCACTCTCTACAAATATTTAAGAGTCAATATTTTACGGATACTAATGAAATATAATACACATATTAGAATAATTGTAAGTACCTGTTGTTGTAGACTCACCAAAATTTCATTAACTATATTTGAAACTTGTGCGTCAGCCATTTTCACGCAAGGTCTAGGCACAGATCCGAGGATCTATGTCTACGAATTAATGTATTGAGTTTCTATTCAGTAAGCAAATAAAGTAACTGTGTGAAAATCATGATGTATAAATTGTGTCATCAGAGGTTAGGAAACGCATTTTTTGTTAAGATCAGCAACAATTAATTAGTATAAATAAAATGCATGACAACAAAAACAATATGACGTATTAAATAAATAATTCGGTCATAGGCTTGTCAAAAAATATCGACATATCGATATTTTCTTTTTGAACGATACATTATACAGTCATTATTTTGATATTTTGTTATATGTTTAATAAATTTCGTTAATGAAAACGTTTTTCATTACCGAAATTAACAAACACCTTCTAAAATTAAAAACTGTATACGGTACAAATAGCCTTTCTTATTTTTTTTTTCTTTGTTATTCTATGACGTAATGCGATAATATAAATCTAGCACGAATTAAAAACATAAGTAGTCCAAAAATTTAATATTAAAATTATACAGCGATCACATATATAGATACAATAGTAGTTTTCCAAAGAGTCTAACTCAAAGAGTAAAGTAAGTATACCAACCATAATCACAGAATATCTACTTAAATAAATTGCATATATTGCTGTAATCACAGAGTACATTTATTTACAGTAGGTATGTATAAACTATTTAATATTATTCTTCCAACAATACATTAAGTAATTCTCTAGATATTTTTTTTTCATACATCGATATTAATATTCTTTATAATTGATATTTTAGGACCTTTCGTCATCTCTATTCGTCTAAATCAAAAGAAAAAACATAACAACTCTTCGACAAATTGAACATGTTCTCCGTATGATTGATTTGATGATTATCGAGTGCCGATAAATATCATATATAACAATATCATCATTTACTTCTACTTTATCCCATTCATTTGAAGCCGGTGTAACGGTTTCTCTTTTATTTATCTCATGCCATATTATTCATCGGACTTCCTCTGCTTTTATAACCCATCCCATCTGGGGGGAGGGGATGGTTAGTAATGTGGATTGATAACCCCATTGCTAGCAATGTACCATGTCAGGTCGACCTCCACGCGGTTCCCCCTGGAAACCATCGTGTTAAATTCCTGGTGAATTTGTCACGATGGGCTAACTGATCTGACTTCATGATCATCTTATCATCCTCCACTGGTGCCCCTCCAGCGTAAACCGTTAGCGCAGGCGGGTGCACCATTTCATTATCATCAATAAAAAAAAACCCATCCCATCTCCGTTAGTGCAGGCGGGCGCCATTTCATTATCATCCACAAAAAAAACCCATCCCATCTACGTGCATATATCGCGCATTCTTCAAAATATTCTCTTCATTCTTACGCATTACATGCCCATACCAAAACAGACAGGGATGAATGGAGTTGTTTGTGGTGTGGATTAAATGAATCCATTGCTAGCAATATAAGCACCATGTCAGGTTGACCTCCACGCGGTTCTCTCTGGAAACCATCGTAATATTCCTTATAATAATTTAATTAATTAATTATTAAATTAATTAACGTAATTGACCTCATGCTCCACTGGTGCCCCGCCAACGTAAACCGTTAGTAAACCCTGCTGCAACAGTTCATTATCAGCAATTAAAAAAAACCATAAACTATATAGAGATACTAAACATACTATTCAGATGTGAATTCATATTAAATCCTAGAGTAATTGGAAACATACTACTATACTAAAAGCGGCCAATCGTTTCTTTAGCGAAACATTGAAATCCTACATATGATTGGTCAAATAAATGTCAAATCGTTGTCAAAGTCTTTCGACTTCACTTGACTAGTTGACTGAGTCATGAAGAATAGAATAGAATTGCATACAAGACAAGAGTACAATATAAATATTCTAGTAGTTAATTTGCTATTTTCTTGATTTTTTTAAAAATTGCAAATATTGTCGTCCATTTTATGTTTTAATAAAAATAATTAGTGTTTTCTGTATTCCTGGGGTGATGGAGTCACCGCCTTCGTTCTCAACAAATTCTGAAGCACCTCCTCTAAGTGAAGACAGTGGTCTACTGATTACAAGTGGTTCTTTTTCAAGTGATTCTGCTAGTGGATGGCATCACGTAGCATCTGAAGTAAGATAAATTTTATACATTCAACTGTTAATAATAAAAACTAGCAGTTACATTTAAAAGCAAAATCCATAGATTTGCATTACAGACAATGCATTTTCATTTACGTATAATGGAAAGCATCTATTCTACTATTGACGTACTACGATTATACTACGACATAGACTGTCAATACTAATAAACATAATTATTGTACTTTTGTGATTTGTGTCCGTAAAGTAACAAAAATTGGTGTTTTTTTTTAAATAATGCATAATAATTTTTTAATTTTATTTTTTTCATCATGAAGAGAATAAGTGACTTTGATTTTTTTAAATTTTGTTTTAAATGAATCCCATGATTTATAATCCATCTTAAGTATTCAGAACTGTCAAATTTCTTTTATTTAAACTATCATCTACAAATAAAATCATCTACATGTAAATAGCTAAAATGGTAATTATAATTATTGTATGATTACTTATTATGAATGACATTTTTTTATTTTTCTAGACAACTAGAAAAATCAATAAGTGTCAGCTTACATTTGTAGTTCTATAAGTACTATGTGTATTGCACAGATCTGTTTTATTCCTTCACTACACTTAATATGATTTCTTTTAAGCTGTCTCCCTATTCACATAAATAGAGTTTAGAATAGAGTTTTCCACTTTACTGGACTATACAATCCTAGAGTATGCAAGACCATCTTAACAAGCAATTGAAAAAAAAAATATATCAATATATTTGCAGTGTCTTTACTTTGCTCATATACTTACTGTGTTGACCTGGAATTTTATACAAAAACTGTGCTACTGGTTATTAACATGTTGACGCCTGAAGAAAAATCTTATTAATATACATATATTATTAATTACATATATTATTTTTTAAACAAGTTTTTAGTGTACAGTAATTGAGATAGACACTATTTAACCCCAACATTTATTTCAATTAAAGTGCCCCTGGGTGATCCCAACATGTAAATTTACTTTAGTTTCGGAGTGAGTCCAGTCTTTAACATGTTAAACATAAATAAATAATGCAAAAATAGAATAGAATATTTACATTTATTCAAATAAACTTTTATTGAAACAGTTTTCAAAAATCCTCACAGGTTTTTTAATCTACCTCTTTCTGAAAGCTCTCTCATCACAAGAAGAATGAGCAAATAATTTGCATGTTGCTCTTTTAAATAATTTAGTTATTATACATTTTGAGTTGCAATGTGTCAAAATAAATTACCAACTGGCACTAATTCAATAGAGTTAAATATCCAAGTGCAATGATTACTAAGCTCGCAAATATCAAAAGAAAATAGTGAAATATAACTAGGATTTAGTTTCTAACTCCATTATAGAAATTCTCCAATGTTTGCAAAACAAACCATTGATAGTTTTGAAACTACTGCTTACAAATAACTCGCTATCTAAACATAAACAAATAAATAAGCGGGCTGCTTACTAGATTTCACTTATCTTCATATAGACATAACACCACAGGATCTGATTACAGCTGGAACGGCTGATTACTGATGGAAAAAGAATTACAATATAAACATATATGTAATTGGAATGCCAAATTATAAAGGCTAAATGAAAAAAGTCCTACAATAATAAATGATTTTTGAATTAGAATTAGAATTCATGTGTCAACCTTGATACCACTTATAAGACACTCAAAGGAATTTAAAGATATTAAATAGAGGGACCAAAGTATTTTAAGGTGAAATGAGTATCATAAAAACCTTACAAAAGACAAATGGTAATTTGTCATATAGTATTAATTAATTCTGTAAGATCACATGAGATATGTATACTGCTCTATATACCTCTACAGTTACTAAACCGTCACATATAGATGCTAGTAATAAACTTACCCATTACAGAGAAGACATTCCTGAATTCAGTACATAAGAGATAAATCTGCCTACGAAAGAAAGATAAGGCACAATCTAACGATCAATGGAGTTACTATAAGCTTATCCCTAAAGAATTGTGATTTTTAATTATGTTCTTTCACAGGAAAGTTATGGAGTAAGTGGAAAAAGTGTTTACCATGGTCAATAAAAAATAGAAAAGGCTCTATTGAAAAATTACTGACCAATATATGTAATCCCTAGTCTAAAGCTTTTCTTCAGATTTCCACTTGATTGATAAAATGCCTATAGGAGCATAAACTACGACCAGCTGACTAGCTTCAAAAATGTACCTATTTAGGATTTGTGGATGAAGCATGACTCCCTTCAATACTGGGCTGTAACATAATTTTAGAGGAGATGCCTTGTAGATTATTAAAATATTTAAATCCTAAAAACTTACATATTTCCATGATTATAACAGTTCAATTTAAACAGTATAATAACCTCATCCCGATTGAAAGAGGAGTACCTAAGGAGTTGTGGTATCTGCAAAGTTATATACAGCTGCAATAGTAGAAAGTTTTGAACTGCGATGAAAGGGGCATAAATACTAATGGTATATACTTGAACCATCTTAAATATGCAGATGGTAAAAGCAATATTATCATAAGCAAATCTGCATATTATATTCCTTCTGCATCACATTTCACTTATGATTGGGTTCTAATTGAATATTGAGTAGTCCAAAGTATTGATATGAAATTATCCTTCCATGTCAGTATAAGCTAAACCTCATGAAAGGGTATTTATATTAGGTCAGGATTCACTTAAGACAGACATTGAGCAAACAATGCTGCTGCCATGGGGATAATTTGGACAGCTCAAAGGTATAATTCAGTCAAAGACACTAATTGCTGAAGAAAATCTTCAATTTATCTTAAATTCACATTGTTTGCAAGCTAGTATATTAATTTATGACCTTCAATCATTCTATCTCTAAATTATATAAACAGAACAAGTGAATTAATATATTTTAAAAGACAAATTTCTATATCTGTTCTTTTACTGTTTTGTAGTTATTCAATTATTCTAATAAAATGTGTATATTAATCTTATATATAAATTTCTCGTGTCACAGTTTTCATTCCCATACTCCTCCGAAACGGCTTGACCGATTCTCATGAAATTTTGTGAGCGTATTAAGTAGGTCTGAGAATCGGCCAACATCTACATATTTTTCATCCCCCTAAATGTTAGGGGTAATCCACCCCTAAATTTTTATTTTATTTTAACGCTAAACAATGTTTGCCGGGACAGCTAGTATATCATATAATATAATAAGAAGTTTAATTATATTATACAATATTTTATATAGGCAAATTTGTTTTTGGTGTTACTGAACAGTAATGGGATTATTTGACTTAAGAAAATGCTATTAAAATGCAATAATATACCAGTGAATTGTGTTTATTATTATAACTATTTTAATTTGGCACTTATTTATAAATTGATAATTAAATACATTGTACAAAAAAATATCTTTGCAACACATATATTTAGGTATACATATATCTAAAATATATTATCCTTTGCTATATTATTTTTATTAGTGTATTTACATGCAAAGGAGTTCTTATGTGGAATTATGTACTATACAGTATACACTAGATGTTTTAGTTCTAAACAGCCAAAATGATCTATTAGCTAGATGACCATACATATTTGAAAATTAGCTATATAATTGTAACAGTTTCTTTATAGCCATGTAATTATAAGACTAAATTTTTTACATTTAACTTCATTATACACATTTTAAAATTACATCCAACTGTAAGTGGCAATGGCTTGGTTGTTTTATATAATAATTATGACAAGAATATATTTAATAATTATTATATTTTCTCATTTACACAGTTACAAGAAAGTGATTTCGATGAGAGGTCACTATCATTGTGTGAATCAACAGAAACATCTGAACGTATGTGCGGTGACTTTTTCAACACAGTGAAAAAAGGCCCAGTAAAAGTTATTGTGACTACTATTGAACCACCCCCAGAATTTCAAGTAAGAATGGTATAATTCATAATTTTATTATTGCACTATGATTTAGAGACAAATCCTATGAATTCAATATGCTTCATATAAAGAAAAAAATTACAAGTATGCATACAAATCATATAAATGTAGAATTTTACAATAAGTTTGTGGAGTTATAGTTCACATTTTTTATATTTTACACAGAATCTAGTGTAATTTTACCCTCAGCTTAAGTGATAATAATTAATTATGTGGAAGTATATTTAGTTAATTAATTTCTTTATTGTATGTATTGTGCATGATGAAAAAATAATATATTTTAAATTTTGAACTACCACTGATCGGTCTCAGCGGTCTGGGAGTGTTATTACATAATATTTTATTTTTTCCAGGATAATCCTGCTCCTGTTAGCAGTGACAATCTTACGGCTGTGTATGTGCCTCCAACTATAATTTATACCAATGCTACAACAACAAAATCCCCAAGCTTGGATGTTCCGATGTCTACTAAGCATATATCACCTATGTATTCCAGAAAATTAAAGCCGGAACCACTGTATGAGCGCCGGCAGTGTTTGAATCATAGGTTTGCAAGTCCTAGGCTACTGCATTTAAGCCCTTGTCGAACAAATAGACCTTCGTCACGAAATTCTCTATCATCTCGTTTATCCAGTAGCCATAACTCACTCGTCACCCAGTTCCAAGCAGATGACTCGAGCTTTATAACACAAGCTATATCACATGATACTTTATCAGCAAAAACGTCCGACATAACTGATATGTACAATGTCCCCTTCGATAGTGATATTTATGCGGTACCAATAGACATGGTCCGTCCTAGTCATGCCAATGCGAGAAGTAAAGGAAAAAAGATTCCTAGGAATAATAAGAAACGTGGTAAAAGCACTCCACAAAGTATAGGCATGAGCCATTTACCACTTGAGAGAAATCATAAGCCTAAAGAATTTATTAGACATAGAGATATTAAAACTAAAAGGCACAGCCTGCCCAGTTCTACGTGTAAGAAAAGTACAACTGATTCCGATACCGATTCATTGCATTTGACTTTACGGGAAATGAGAAAATATTTACACACATTATATTCTAGTTCAAGTGATTCTGAATGTAGGAATACTATAAATAAGAAAAATAATACCATTATAACAAATGTGGGTATTCATTCTAGACATTCGTCAAAAGATACCGCCACCGCAGTTTTTCTAAAAGAGAGCAATGAAATACCTAAAGCGGTAGAAACAAACAATAATCATAAAAAGACAAATAAAAATTCTTTTGGAATGAATGCTAAAAATAAAAAACATAAAGAGAACGTCCCTAAGGATATTATAGAAGTAGATAAAAACGACAAGTCGTTAAAGAAAGTTTCACCAAATCCAAATCAAAAAGTGAAAATGTCTCCTGTCAGAATTTTGTCAATTAATCTAAAACAAAGTTTCTGTAATTTGTTTCGTTGGCGACGTCAAACTGTGATTGATAATAGTACAGAAATAGAGAAGGTCAACAAAGAGAACGGCAACAAGGAGAGTTCACCACCGGCGGCTGTGAGACGCGCGTTGCCACCTCTACCACAAACACCACAGACCTCCCGACGCACCACCAATGAGGAGGATACTGTGATGGACTTTGCTACTTCAATCCAGAAAGTTAAAGATGTAAGTACTCAATATTATGTTACAAATGACAATAATAACCTAATATTTCTGTATGTTCAAAATGTTGACCATATTAAAAAGTAGCTCCTCTATCGAAAATAATCACCATCTGCTTCATGATTCTTAGTATGAATATAAAATACTGAGTAATTTTATGATGATTGTATATCAATCATAATAATAGTATGGTGTGGTAAGTTATGAAATCGTAATAAACAAACGCACTTTTGTCTTTATAGTATTATTTCATTACCAGAAACTGAAAAAAAGCTTAATATTTAGGTGCGCTTAGTTTCACTAACGTATTGTAGTGAGCTTAACTTAAAAAATTGGGTTTATTCCAATTGGTTAAAAAAAAAGAAGTTATCCGAAGTCGCGAGTATGTCCGTCATATATTTCAAATTATATATTTTTCCAGTATGGCTGGTATTGGGGCCCCATCTCCGTGGAGACAGCTGAGAAAATACTGTCTAATGAGCCAGACGGTTCTTTTATCGTACGAGACAGTAGTGATGACCACTATATATTCACATTAACATTTAAATTAAATGGACTTAGACATGTTAGAATAGAACATGATCAGGGTAAATATTTAATTATTATAATTAATATTAAAATTATTTCCTACCTACTGTAAGAGAAAAATTTAATTTTTCAAACGGCGGCTGAGAAATAACATTGCGCAGAGACAATGTAAATTAAAGGTGAAAAAAATGAATATTATTTTGCTTTTAGGTGCTTTGTCTTAAAGAATATTACTTACTGGACGATACTAGAATATCAACTATATACTAATTTAAATTGGTATTATATATTACATCTTAAAATAATAATAATAATAAAATAGGTGTAATAAACATGCTAATAAATATATGTTTCTTAAACTCAGTTGTTAGACGGTATAAACCATAGCAAACCAAATTTATTAGAAAAAGTAGTATAAAAGAGCAGATGTAAATGATTTTTTTTATTATTTTGTCAATTTAGTATGATAAATGTGCATATCGAATATTTTAGGAGAAATTCTGTTTAATTTGAAGCTTGATTTAGATATTATCTAAATCAAGCTTGAAATTAAACAGAAAAAAAACAAGCACATTTATCACACTAAATTCCCCCTAAAACATGGCCTGGCAATTCAGCTTACTTACTCCTTATTATACAAAAATTATATGTATGTAACCCACATAGTATGTCATTTTATTATTATAATGAACTAAAAATTTCTTAAACCAGTCAGATTTATAATATTCTTATACCTAGCTTATCGGCGATAACATATTCTATACGGACATTGCTGTGATTCATACAATTTGATTAAAATATTTTATGACATAACTAAAGGCTTTTTATATTGAATACATCTTTAATTTAAAAATATTACTGCACCTATAGTTTACAATTGTTGTTATTTAGTCTCAGTAAAGCTGCAATGGTAATCACCTGAGTTTATTTGATTTTGTAATTAGACAATTATATTCTTTGATTAAATTAGCATGAGAATCTAATACTCTCTAATCTGTCACTATGACCTAACTGGTCTAAGCCAGTTAGGTCATAGTGACAGATTCTCCAGGAATCAACCATGGGGACTGACCTGACATTGCACATAGATCACACTGTGGTCAACACTATTACTAACATCCGCTTTTCCTCCCCTATTCCTATATGTTGTCCCATAATTAATAATATTAAATAAGGTCACGATATTTCGATAATAAATAATGTTTTGTATTTAAATGTAAAGATAATAAAGGTATTGACGTGTTCTTTTCCAGGTAATTTTTGCTTCGGAGGTTGCACTATGTTTAAAGCTCAAACAATTGTGGAATTCATAGAGAATGCTGTGGAGACATCTCGAAGTGGCCGATATTTATTCTTTCTTAACTTGAGGCCTGTATTAGGCCCTGTTAGAGTACAGCTACTGTATCCAGTATCTAGATTTAAACGCGTCCAAAGCCTTCAGCATATGTGCAGGTAACTGAAAAAAAATACAATTATTACAATTATTTAAAAAAATATGTTAACGTCTGAAAAAATAGTATAAAACTAGTATGCTTTTGATTAAAAACAGCAAAACAGCAAACTTATATTTTTTTATTATTTTACTGTAGAATTTTTCCTTACAATATTCATTTGCAGTATTCGACATATTTTAGTTGTAGGGTATAGTTAGGCAGTGAAATGATATGATGAGAGAAATAACATCTTAGTCCTCTGGGATGGCAACATAGAACTTGGTATCATGGTCACATGAGAATGTAGTCCCTGGTATTGTCCATACAGGTGACGCTTACCACTTACCATCAAGTGGACCGTCATCTTGTTTGGCATTCCAATTACATAAATTAGGTATTGCCAAGACAGGTCCTTCAAGATTGGTTCATTGAGCCCTGTCAATAAGTGCTAGTCCAACAATTTGAGTGTTAATCATGGATAGACTATAATATAACGGGTGTTCACAATCCTACTGTTGACGGCTTAACGGCTGATTTCCGATAACCGCGGGTTCGAATACTTGCACGATGGAGGCATTTATGAGTATGATTGTTTGTATTGGTCTGAGTGCTTTTATTTAAGACAGAAATATTGACAAAATATACGTATATTTAAGTATTCTAAGAAGTCTATTAGTTATCTAGTACCCACAACACTAGTTCTACTTCGCTTAGGACTAGATACCGCTGTGTGAATTGTCCACAGTTTTTATTATTATATCTATACTCACTCACTTTCCTTAATAGCATACACTGTTTTAAAACGTTATTTTACCTACAGTATGCATGCAATATATGTTTAGGCTTTTATATTTCAATAATTTCTTTTTCAGATTTGTGATATTAAAATATGTACGTCGTGATCTTGTTAGCGACCTCCCTCTGCCGCGACGCCTTGTCGACTATTTGAGTGCTACGCACTACTACTCAGAGCTTCTGTCAGAGATATAGACATGTTCTGTATGTACCGTATCCATTAAATTAGACATTTACTGTTATGTAATATGTAATCACTACAAAACAATAGTACATACCAGAAAGCTTCTACTCTATGGCATTATATGAACTTTATATTGTTCTACTACGCAGATAAACTATACTATACTCAATTGTGTTGGTTCATTTTGGAGTAGTTGTTTTTTTTTTTTCAATTAACGTGGTCTATTGAAGTAAGAGTGTATACACCCACTGCCAGTAATTACGAGCCAAGTTACTTTGGAATAATTTTTCTGATTATTATGTTATTAATCCTTAATTATTTTTTAAATGTGTAAGGTCTGACAGTCAGTCAGCAGGACTGCCAGACCTCATTTATTTTATGATGTAATGTGTCTGATGGAGTTGCACCGTAAGTATTTTGATATTTATAAAATGGTCTGGTTAAAGCGGCAAAGCATACGATCTACGAGGATACTATACTACTCAATCATACTCATTTTGTTCATATGGAAATATGTGACGTTTAGCAGGCCTGGAATCTTGCTCTATTTAGATCACTGTTTACATTGGACATTTGTATAAGAAAGTTCTTGTAATACTCATTTCATTTTCAAAATCAGTGAATCCAATGTGAGTATGATTCTGTTTTAAAATTACATAGTGAATAAGTACATACTCAAAAATAAATGCAATACATTGTCGAAAACATTGATGAAACTTGGCAAGGAATCAAATGCAGTGAGTGATTAATAGTTATTGATTACTTTAACAATGTCTAGTAGTGAAGTGGGTGTCTAATTATAGGCGCAATTTATTGTAGCTATTGTTAATACTCTTAATTCATTAGACCATTATGTTAATTCATTTAACTCTACTCAATAATATTAGTGTATGTAGTTACACTACAAATAATGTTGTATGTGGTTCTATATATTTCTAGTACTAATAGTTGTATCATTTTGTTTTTTTTTTTTGTAATTTATATACCAATAATTTATTTTTCATTAGACAAAATAAATGCTTACATGCAACTATGTGCAATCTGATTAAAGGTAGTCCAGTTGGACTCATTTGTTTATAATGCTAATATATGTATATGGTCATAATATTCTAGATTAGTTTACTAATTTAAATAATGAGCTTTCAACAATATAAAATATTGCAATGATTTTTGTTTCTACTTTGTATATGATTGAACTTTAGATTTATGATCTTATTACATATGTGTATATGTAGATTGAATATTTGTTTCTGAATTAAAAAACTTACACTATCATTGTTATTGTGATAAATAAAATAACATTGATTCGAGTTTTCAGAGACGTAGCTTGTATATATAAAATCTACGATGTAGATTGTATGTTTTACAAACTGTTTAATGTTATATTCTTAATTATCATAATACATTATATTTTATTTGATTACTGAACGTAGCTTGTTGAGGAAGACGGTTAAACAAATTGTAGAATTCTTTGCAGTCCATGCTATCTAGCCAAAAAATCCTGGCTATATTAAATTAACTAAAATAAAAATGTAGTCATAGAATTTATTTCACATTATCTTGATCATATTAGAATGCCGGTGATGTCCAGAATAATTGTGAATATGTGACGAAAAAAAGTGTATATGAGACGGTTGTCCGCCGTAATGTAACAAACTACTTATAAATAGTAACTATCTTTTAAGTTATCCGATGAATTCTATAACTTAAAACAAATGCCTTTATATATTTATTAGGTAAGAGATGATATCTAAACTAATAGATAAGGATATATATCCTTTTGAATATATCTTATCTAGATGCATTATATTTTTCTGTTTATGGGTAGACTTTTCTAATACCTATTTTTAACAAAACAACAGAATGTCTCTTTACTTGTTGATTCAGTATATTAGAAGTAGCTACATTTGGGATAATCTACCATTACTGTTGGTTTCGTGGTCATACGTAATTAATACTTGAACTATAAACTTTGTACCCGTTTTTAGAAAATTGCGCGGACGGAGGGGTATAAAATTTCGCATACTTATAGTAAAGAATGCCAATATATGTAACAGTATGCATTAAAAATACATTAAATTAATAAAAAACATTACACACACTACTATGTATTTAACACACGCATAGAAATATAGTCTTTGACAATAGTACCTTAATAATGTTCAAACTTATAATTTAAATTAATTATGGTCGAATTTTAACAATTGGGCGACCAGTATTACCTATAAACCTTAATAAATTCGCAAAATTCTCTTGTAATATTATACTATTAGTATTTTGTGCATTGATATATCAATAGACAATACCATAATAGTGTGTTCTTTCTGAATAATTTGTGCATTTTGATTTAAATTAGTAGTTTATTTATAATTTAATTTTTACATAATAATTATTATTGACTAATGGTTACTGGGTGAGCATCCGCTTGTTTTTAGTCTAGTTAGACTGTGATCACGCTAAGTGGCATGAATCTAACAATAACATGATATTGTTAGATTCATGCCATGCCATGCTTAGCGTGATCACAGTCTAACTAGACTAATATATAATAGCAAATATGAAGCTTCTATTTGGATAGTGACAATCTTGCAAATCAGTGACACTACTGATTTGTTTGTGTTCTGTAATAATACCATAATATAAGACTGTAAAATGGAAAGATAAGGAAGTATAAATACCGACTACGGAATATTATTTAACACCGTATCGTAAAAATCCTCGACAGGCTACATACAGTATGATTATAAATTCATATAATGTCTAATTTATACGTTTACATTCATTTTAATTCGCCAAAGAAAATATTGACGTAATTATTATTTATTAATTATGTGCTGGATGCAATACATAAGTTATGTAATATGTTACAACAACATGAATTCTTAATAATATAGTATTCTAACCATATTTAGTTCACTGGTACTATAGTTATTGAGTATATAAATTTTTTAAACAATGTCTTTGAATAATTCATTGTTTTTTTTCAATTATATAGGACGAACAATTATATTAATATGTTGTACGTTTTACTTCGATATTTTTACGATCTACTTACATAGTTTAAAAAAATATTTACAAATATTAGCTATGTACCTATTATGAACAACATATAACATGTGTAGCTTAAGTAAATAGACTACAAATTTTAAACTAATTAGCAAAATATTAAACAATAGACAGACTACCGATTCGAGGTTACCTGCGCGTGTGCAGAACAATGCCTACTGGGTATTTTTCTAGATAATTTATTATAGGTACGCAACGCGTATGTGCGTAAATGACATTGCAACTACTCAGTTATATATAGATCAAATTCATGACTTGAACGTCGTATATTTAGATTATACCTATTACAACTCATATTCTAGAGCTAGAAGCCTGATAATTCTCGGAGAATACGGTCGTTGGTTAAAATCACGAATAGAACTGCATAACTCATAACAGCACAGTTGTTTTACGTACGTAGTTCCAATCAAATCGATTTAATAAGTTTTTAACTGACTTCTAAACCATTTAATTGATGAACTATTAAGGTCGTGTGGCTACGCCCTAATTTCAAACCAATACAAGTAATTATCTATTTGATTGGTCTAATATCCAACCACCATTTACTTATTAGATATGTCAAATATTTCTTTGTCATATCTGTGGAATAAAATTATCTTGAATACCATACTTGAAGTGGAAAAAAAATATACATGTTTGTATATATTTGTATATAGTACTTTATGTAATCGAAACGAATCTCCTACGACTTGTTAAATTTAATTTACTCGGGATTGTTGTAATTAATTTATTTGTATTAACTTAATGTATCAAAGATCTAAAGTGGGTAATTTGCAGGATTTTGTTTAAATACAAACTCTATTTATAAACTTTTAAAATCAACAAATAAGCGTAATGTTAACCAGGGAACTTATTATAATAGTTACTTTTGGCCAACATTATGCTACATAAAAGGATTGTTCTCTGTCCGACTCTAATAGCATTCTAAATATAGCCAATAAAATCACGAGACCTACATGTTCAATGTCAAAATAATTGTCGTCTGTGTAACATGGTGTCATGTCTGATCGCTTATATTATATATGTTATGTATGAGTATATCAGCTTAGCTGTATCGATATAATAATCTCGTGATAGTTGAAGCAATCTATGTATTGGTGATAGTTTAATTTAACATATACAAACAATAATGTAGGCAATATTAGTGTGCGTTACTAATGTTAAATCTGTATTTCAGACATATCAAGAATGTTCGTTTTAATAAGTGTTGGAAATTGTAAGGTCCTGCTCTAATTTACAGGAATTGACTTAATTCTGCGTCTGATGTAAAAGAAGGATACGGAGTATACTTTCTCTGTGGAGAATTAATATTCGAAGCACTAATGAAGACATATAAGTACAAATACAATTCTTGCCAATGTAGCTTAAAGATTAATATATGGTAATACACCAGTGGCTTTTATACGTTTTCAAGAATAAATATCTCTATTTTGTTGTCTAATGTAGCTTTACATAAGTAATATTACTGAATTATAGTTATATTGTGGTGCCAGTCGTGATTGTGTAAATCTCAGATAGTGTTTGTAAGTTACATCGACTAGTATTTTTTCATTGGTGGATTCAGTCATCCTTCCCAATAGAATTATCAAGGAATTTAAACAGTTAATGTATAAATAAAATTATCATATAATACTCACTAAATGGAAATAATAAAACATCCGTGCCTATTTTTTTTACCACATTTTCAATGTTTAAACAGGTATATAAAATTAAAGATTTTTGATTCAGTCTCTAAATCCTCTATGGTCGTCTTAGTGGCCTAGTTGTTTATTCTGTAATTAAGTTCTATTGGAAAGGAATTTACTTTCCAATTATAAAATTCATTGATGAAATTTACTGTACTTGCTGGATTTAATGTACAGCACATTTGTAACGTTATATCTCTATAAGGTTAATATAAAACGACAACAATATAATTTAAAATGTGAATATAATATGTACTTATTACGTACCACAGTACAATCAGCATACTATGAGCATCTATTACATTTTCTGCTATTTAGCCGTTGTCCTTAAAATTATACTATATCAACTATAATTAAATATGGACTCAAGAAAATGGCGGACAGCTGTCATACGAAAAAGCAATTGATGCTATATAGAACAAATGTGGTGTATGATTTTTGCAGCTTAAATGGTAACTTATGAACACTATTATAGGTACTCTTGTGTCTTACAGTATCATTATAGTAAATAAAGTATAATTGGCAGTGTTGCAGTGTGTGTATAATATATTATATAATAAAAATACAAAATTGACTGTGAATTTTATATATATTATAATATAGTGTTTATCTCAGGGTAGCGATTATAGTAAAGATGTCATTCGTTCGTCCTTTATATAATATTTAAATGTTGGACTGTAAAATATGTGATGTTGATTTCTCCTTTGGAGATTCTCCAATTAAAGAACGCTAGAAATTGTATATTATAATCAGTAACAATATGACTACTTTTGTTATGACATAAAAATTCAATATTTGCAATTGCTAGTAATCCTAAATAACTTAGAATACCAATCTCATTTATAATAATAATATATATATATATATATATGGCTATTTAATATGTGAATACATTGTCAATTACAAGATTACAGTAAGTAAAAAACAGTAATTAAATGTATTTACTTTATTTTTACTGACTATTTTTAATATAGACTTTATAGAAATTACTGAAATCTACAATTAGACATGCTTCATAATGCGTAGTAATATAGTAAAAGATTATTAGTTGATGAAATAAATTTTCTTTCAAATATTTCACATTGCGCTCGTTTCTACTAATTTGTATCAAGTATGAGTGACATAATAGACCAAGACCCTGCGTGTCTTGCGTTTATTCGTTAGGTACAAGGAAATTTAACAATAATGAAATATGTTTCTAACATAACATTATCGGCATGATGTATACTTGTATTGGGATGGGCCACAGCTCTCATAGTGTCCTCGGACAGTAAAAATGTATATCACTTGAATGATCTAATATATTGGTATGAATGATTACCCCTGAGTTGACCACTAGCAATAATTTCAGTGAATTTCTTTAAAGTCCGAAAGAAATAACTTCAATAATCTATGAGTGAATGATAAGATATATTATAGTTTTTGTAATGGAATGTTCTATTTATCATCAAAGATTTACGACTATCGTTTTTATGTAAAATATGTACTGCCTTATTGTCTATCAACCTTATAAATGTACAATATTGACAGACCGACGTGTGATGTTTGCCGCCACTTCAATATGCATATTATCATATTGTTGTATAATAAACAGCAATTGTTACTATGGAGATTATATAGTTACAATATTTGTTATTAGATTAACTTGGAGATCTGACTTAATGAGAACGTTGTTTAATTAGCAACATCGTATGTGTGCTTATAGAATATTAGTTGTACATAATTGTTGTTAATATAGCGTGTTGATCGCGCGTCGACTGAATATTGTATAGTATCGGCGAGGCAGTTATTATTGAGTGTGAATTTAAAATCGGCAGTCGCTTTTAATTATTATTGATTAATATCGATGTGATAAATGTCCACAAAAATATCACTGTAATAATTGTCATGAGAATCAAACATTGAACGATTTTTTCTTTCTATTTACCTAAGTCAGTCAAATTCCTATTAATTGGGTAGAGGTTTCCATAAAAAATTAAATTATTTATTATAATAACCATACGAACAGAAAACATTATATAATTAATATTCAAAATAATCAATTATCATGATAATCATAGACTTTAATTTTGTGGCAAAATTTCTCATGATATATCTATTAATTTTCTTGACTGATGTATCAACGTGCAGAGTACTCGGCTAGATTATGTACTAGTACAGTAAAATGTATTAGCTATTAAAAGAGGTTATAATTCATTAATTACAAAATGTTCAAATAAATATCGTATTTATTTAAATGTTACGGTAAAATAATTATAGTGTCTAATTTACATCAATCTGTAATTATTACATAACCATTTTCTATTAATAATAAGATATAAGGAATAAATAACTAACATTTATGTCTTATATTTTAATTATTATACTGTTTAAGCTATGCAATAGATATATTTGCCTATCCCTTACGAAATCTGGCGTGAAGATGGAATAGATCAACAGGAATTTTATGTCTGTGTGATATGTATGTGATTTCGATGTCTAATGCCACTCTAATAAATAAATAAACAGTTTTACCTAAAAAAGTTTGCTTTTGTACTTAATGAGAATAACCCAAGACAATTCACACAATCTACTCCCAAGCTATGCAGAGCTTGTGTTATGCGTACTAGATAACTGATATAATTACTTAAAATTTTTTTCTATGTTTATGAATTGTTCTTCTTAGAAATGAATTTTATATAGAAATGACTTATAGTTTTTACTTATACTTTAAATTTATTTATAAATTAATGTATAAGCTTGCCAAAATTATATAAAAAAAGCTTTAAATTCAATATTTTAGTATTTCATGAGCGTGCTTGAACTCTCGTATGAGCCACAGAAAATATTCTTGTTATTTCGTAAATAAATCCAAATAATCCTTCACGTAAGCATGTACCATATGTATTCCATAATATAAATTATGAAGCATAATGGAAATATGATAATAAAAATATATAATACTGTACGGGTATCTATTCCCCGTACTTGTTTGTAAGGTTGCGGGTGCAGGTGGAAACAAGAAAGACAAGTGTAATTATCCTCTCGAGCAGAGTTCGGTGGTCTGTACTAGCGATGGAAGCGGAATGAATTGTGCCGCGTTCGGCACCTATATTTATACTCCGCCCGCTCGCACCGTGTCACGTACTAGGTAACGATTGTGTTACGCACATAGGTGCGAGCGGGACGGATAGCGCGAAAAGACCACCTCTACTCGCTCCTTTATTTATTAATTTAAACTTTACAATACAGTTATATTTAATTCTATCTAGTAGGGAACCGAAACCACCACAATTATAAATTTTATTAAGCTAACAATAATCAAATATGTACAATAGTCGCGAACATATCTCCCGCCGCAGCTAAGCTGTATTTAATTCGAGTTCGCGTTGCTCGATTGGCAGGATTACTAATTTCTTCGTAGGTCGCCGAAGTATCCCCTTGTTAGTGCGCACGTCGACCGCCCGTATTTCACCATCCGGTCCCGGATACGTAGCCACCACCACGCCGCGCGGCCAGGAGTTCCGAGGCAAGTTGCCGTCTGCCACCAGCACCAAGTCTTCTAACTTGATGACTCCGTGTGTAGCTCGGGGCTCCCGCCGGTGTTGTAGCTGGGGTAAATATTCGGTTACCCAGCGCCTCCAGAAGCAGTCAGCGAGCCACTGACTGGCGCGCCACTCCTTCCTGCCCGCCGTATCGCCCTCAGCGAAAGCTCCCGGCAGTGGTACGCGGGACGGACCTCCCAATAGGAAGTGGTTGGGGGTGAGTGCGTCCTCGTCGTCTGCTGATGTCGACACGTGGGTGAGAGGTCGACTGTTGAGCGTGTGTTCTATTTCCACCAGCAGGGTGAGAAGGACTTCTTCTTTCGGGGCTCGTTCATGCAGCGTTGCGGCCAGCGCGGTTTTCACGCTGCGCACTAGTCGTTCCCAGGCGCCGCCCATGAAGGGAGCGCTCGGTGGTATGTAGCGCCAGCGTATAAAGCGCACCGACGACTCTTCTTCCATGGCTTCAGCGGCTGCTTTCTTCATCTCGAGGTCGGCACCCTTGAGGTTGGTGCCTTGGTCCGACCACAGCTCCGTGGGGCACCCGCGGCGGCTTATAAAGCGCCGCAGAGCCATTACTGCGGAGTCGGTGCTGAGGCTGCCGGCGATCTCCAGGTGCACAGCCCTCGTGGTGAGACATGTGAACAGCACGCCGTACCGCTTCTGATGCGTGCGACCCACCGTCACTGTCATCGGCCCGAAGTAGTCTAGGCCGGTGAAGATGAACGGCCGCTGATGATGTGCCAGCCTGCTGCGTGGGTGGTTGCCCGTTGATGGTTGTGCTGGTGCTGCTTTCCTGATGCGGCACGTTTGGCATCTCTTCAATTCACTACGAACGGCATGTCGTAGGCGCAACACCCACATGTGTTGACGCACCTCGTTCGCAGTAGTTTCGAAGCCCCCGTGATGAAGTTTTCTGTGCACCCATGCTATGTACAGGCGTACCCATACATGTTGACCGTCGACTATGGGTGGTTCCCGTTGCTCCGCGGACAGATCGGCGGCAGCCGACACCCTTGAGCGGAGTCGCAGCACATTGTCTTCGTCGATAAAAATGGACAACTGTTTAAGTCGACTACTCGACGACAGTTGTTTATTGCGTCGCAACGCCGCTATATCGATGCTGAATGCCTCTTCCTGTATTGAGCGGATCCATAGCCGACGGGCGCGTTCTAAGTAGTGTGTGTCTATGGGTATATAACACACAGGCGCACGTACGTTTTTTCTTTTCGACGGTTCTGGTTTTCTTATCTTGTTGCTTCGCCACGTGGGATCGTCTTCATGTTTTTTGTTTCTCTTGTGGGTAGCGACGGCGCAGTGTTGTTTGAGTGGTCGTAATTTATCTATAAATTGCAATACGCGGGCCGTACTGCGGACGATTTTCATCCAGTCGGAGAATCGCGCGGGATCGGGCAACGCTCGAGATAATCGTGTTGCATCTTGTATTGTGTGGGCGCGCTCTTCGCTTGTATTTTCCGTATGGTGGGAATCGTTTTCATGAGGCCACTCTTCTTCTGGTCGATATAGAAACTGCGGCCCCCGGAACCATCTGTGTGTTGAAGTGAAGTGGTGTGGCACGTCGCGTGTGGCATCATCCGCGACGTTGTCGGCCGTCGGCACCCATCTCCACTCGTTCGTTTTCGTATCTTCCATAATTTCAGCGACTCGGTGAGCGACGAAGGGCTTGAATGCACGCGGCCCGGTGCGTAACCAAGACAGTACGGTACGCGAATCCGACCAGTAGACACGACGGGCAGGTTTCAGATCGTGTTCTTCGACAGCCGTGCGTGACAGGCGGCTCCCTAGTACGGCCGCTTGCAGCTCCAGACGTGGTATAGTGGTGACCTTGTTCAAAGGGGCCACTCTTCCCTTGGCTGCGATGAGTGACACACGCACCTCGCCGGTCACGCATACGGCCCGCCAGTATACGACACAGGCGTATGCATCTGAGCTCGCGTCGACGAATGTGTGAAGCTCCGTCGTATGTGCCGTCGCCACACCGGGGTAACACCGTGGTATTACCAAGTGGGGTAACTGCTGTGCGTGCGATATCCAGCTCCGCCACGCTGCTGCTTCCCGTTCTTGCAGTTCGGTGTCCCAGCCGATACCCGTGCGCCACGTTTCTTGTAATATCTTCTTGGCTTGTATTGTGACGGGTGTGGCCAGGCCCAATGGGTCGAACAGCGACATAACGGCGCGGAGGGCTTCTCTCTTCGTTGGGGTGCGTTCGCCTCGTATGATGTGTAACGGAAGTTTGTTCCCGTTGAAGTTGAACCCGAGACTGTCTTCCTCAGGCCGCCACACCATTCCCAGTATCTTCTCAGCGTCGAGTTGCAC